GACTTCAATGTAAGTGAAATCCCTACAGCATATAGCACCAGAAATGAACCCGAGTCCCATGCAGACGATTGACCCCCAGCAATGTCTGACACAACAAAAGCCCATGACAACAAGTGCAGTTGGGCACCCTTTGGTGTTTGTTGTAAGAGCCGGAGCTTTTAGGACCCAGGGAAGCGCTTTTGTAATAGTGATGATTTCTGTGGCAAAGGACTGAGCCAGGGTCATCCCAACTAAGACAAATCTCTGATGTGACACCATTTCCCAACCAAGCCTCCGGAAGAGCGAAGACACCATCTCTTTCTCCCGTTCTCTGCTTGCAATGCTATAAAATCCAAACAAACATGTACACTCGGAAAGGTTAGCCAGCTCATGCCATGGAAAATGGCCATCATGTGTTTCCTTTCAACTCACCCCTGAGTCCCTCCTCAAGGGTGGAAGTAAAACATTTTGAAGGTCTGAGAACATTCAAAATAAGCCATCATTTCCAAGTAACGGCTGCCCGTGCTATGCACATAAATAAAAATCCATCCTAAAGTTAAACACATTTATAAGACCTTTGTAAAGACTTTGCCTTTTCTCTATAAATGTCTGAAAAGATTAATTAAGAACAGGATGACTCATCCATCTAGATTGATTAAACGTATATTTAAGGGTCAGACTAGAAACAATGCCTAGATACATTAACATACAAATTGTCCACACTGATTAGTCTATTTATTTTACTTGCTGACAATATTTCTGGAATTAAGTCATTGTTAATCTAGGTCTGGAAGGAGAGACAGGACCACCCTATTCCCCATCTAAGAAGTCTTCTTCTCTCACCTCCCAGTACTATCATGTTCCCTCCAAATTTCAGGCTCCTTTAACACTTGGGTACCACAGTCTATAGGGAGAGATACCGGAAGCTGCATCCCAAGCGCAGCCCATGGCTTCCCACTAGCCTTCTGAACAATGTCTCTGCCTTTTCGGAAATTCTTCTTTTTCACACTTTTCTTTTGCATCAGAGTACATTCTCCAAGATCCTTTGGGAAAGTGATGTACTCTGTCCAAAAGCAGAGCATTAAATATGCTGTGTCTAAGCCTAAAGCGTGATCGCTAATGTTGGGTGCTAACCAATTTCAATCTACGGTATTACGGGTGCTGTGCTCTTTATTTCAATTAATATTAGAAAAAGTCCTCAAGGGGCTGGGGATGTAAGTATCCACATCACATTCTCACAGACAAGTGAAATGGGTCCAGAGAAGCTAGAACATGTGGCGATGTTCATCTCACTGGCAGTGATGAAGACCATGGCACAACCTGGTAGGAGCGGCAAACCTGTGCACTTGTACTTGCTTAGCTCCTGGGCCTGTGGTCTCACAGAGGTTGTGAGATCTGTCCAGCAGGACTGCTGGGCCCCCGTGTGAGCAGCTGACGACTGAGAATACATGGTCATCCTCAGCTCTGTTACCATCTATGTCCCTGGAAACAAATCACCACACACCGTGTGCCCAGCCTGCTTATTGATGTTAGGACACAAATTCTTTGGGTACTTTTCCTCTGACTGTTCTTTGGTTATGGTGGCCAATTCCCTGGTACTTACCTGAGCCATGTTTATTAATATAACTGCTGGGAGGTTTTTAAAGAACCAACCATACTTCCAGACTGAACACACAGTTCTAGAAAGGTCTACAAAAGTCTACCAGCACAGCTCTAAAGGTAACAAGGCACTTTGAGTAGAAAGTAAAATGAACCAGGATCCAATATTCCTCATCAAAGTGTGCAAGATTGGGTTTGGTGCAATGGCCACCTCACCCCTGGTGCTGGGCAGCTTCCCAACCTTCTCTGAGGCCTTTTGTCTGCAAAAGGAGGTGCTTGAGAATATTAAGTGAGATAATAAAGGCAAAGCACAAAGACTGTAGAAGAATAAATGCTTAGTCAATGAAAACTATTATTATTATTGATCCCTGCCTCAGGTTCTATATAAAATAAGCAATAATGATGGTCATTGCTCACCATTTATTTATTATACCATACCAGGCACGTTCGTTCGTTCTTTCTTTCTTTCTTTCTTTCTTTCTTTCTTCCTTTTTTTTTAAAAATATATTTTATTGATTTTTTACAGAGAGGAAGGGAGAGAGATAGAGAGCTAGAAATGTCGATGAGAGAGAAACATCGACCAGCTGCCTCTTGCACACCCCCTACTGGGGATGTGCCTGCAACCAACGTACATGCCCTTGACTGGAATCGAACCTGGAACCTTTCAGTCCGCAGACCGATGCCCTACCACTGAGCCAAACCGGTTTTGGCCATACCAGGCACTTTCTATACCTTAACTCACTTAACACTCACAGCAATTCAATGAGAAAGGGCTGTTGTAACCCTATTGTACAGATGGGTATGTTGAGGTCCAGAGAGGTATACTTACTTGCCCAAGGTCACACTGCCAGTCATTCTCCACTGAAAGCAGGCACCTGAACTCCAGAGCACGTGTCTCTTGCCCATATCCGGTATGTGGGCGTAGTTCACAGCCACAAACCCAGTGATGTCTGACATGAACTCTTGAAACAGGAAAGCAGGAGAGGCGGGTTCATTTAGCTGCCAGGGCCCTGCTTGTTTCCCTCCCTACTCTTCCTCCCACCCTACACCACTCTGATTTTTTTTTTTTTTAAATACTCACCTGAGGACATGCTTATTGATTTTAGACAGAGGAGGAGGAAGAGAGAAAAACATTAATGTGAGAGAGAAACATTGATTAGTTGCCTCCCTGGCAACTAATGCCAGACTGGTATGGAACCCACAGCCTTGAGGTGTGTGGGATGAATCTCCAACCAACTGTGTTACACCAGTCAGGACCCACTCCTTGATTTTTTAAGCCATGTAGCTAAGAAGAAAATAGAGGAGAGGTTTGTTCCACCAGGGTTCTTTCTCAGAGCCTCTCGACAAGTTTTAAAATAAAACGATGATGTCATGATTAAGACAACAAGAGAAATAATAGAGAAGCACTAACATGGTTACAGTAAACTGTGGCTCAGGCCCTGCATTTCTCCATTTGAGCCCATTGCCCAGGTTCACTCTCCCCAGAAGAGAATAAAGTATCTTCGGTGCCTCTCCTCTCCCTTCCCACCTCTAATCACCCACCTCCTACAGGCCTCCAGTTTCACCCAATTGACTTAAGCTCATCCATCAGATTTCAGCTTAGGCTGCACTTCCTCCACAGGCCCTCCTGGATTACCATGCCCGGCCCCTCTGCCAGGATTCAGTGCAGCATCTCTCATAGTTTTGTAATGCAATGCTTGTAGGCTCCATGAGAAAAGGGGCTAGTCCACTAGGTATTCTTCCACATCCTGAGTCTTGCCTTGTGCTTGACATGTAATTAGACATGTCAGTAGACATGGTGCCAGGAGAACTACAAAGCATGCCACTTCTTTTACGGTTTGAACTTGTATAATGATAATTTGAAGACCAAATGTTTCATGACCTGAACAATTGCAGAAAGGTAATACCCAGTCTATTTTCTCAGGCCACTCAATAATTTGGAAACCCAGAGAAGGCTTAACAGTGCTTACTACTGGAACAGTCTTTCCTACAGGGACCTCTAGTCCCTCCTCCAGTCATTTAAACTCATTCCACTTCCTCTGGTTCCCTCAAAGGGAATGCTTGGGGACTGAATTATAATTATGACATTTCCCTTCAGCTTTTCCTCTTTGGAATTTAATAACTTCAGCTTCTTAAACTTTTCTTCATAAAAATCTATTAATACTATTCATTGGTTTCTCACTTTTTCATATTACTCATATCTTAGCACTTGCTGTTAAATATCACAAAGAAAAAAATAATTCGAGGCTCACTGAGGGCTTAAAGACAAAAAAAAAGAAAGAAAAACTCAATGATTATATCTATAAATTGAAGAGTAAAATATGGCTTTAATAATAAAAATTTGGTCTCAATTAGTCTATTTATTTATTTATTCATTTATTTTGTTCTTTGAGGCTCATGTTTTGAAACATGTTCTACTTCCTAAAAGAGCATGCTCTAAAAAGGAGAGATGATGTGAAGCCCATGGTTTGACATATAAGTCTTTACATTAAATCATTAGAAATCATCCCACATTTTCCAGAATGGTCCCATTTTAAATATTTGGACCCATTTTTCCATAAATATGGTCAACATGCAAGTAACATATAATCTCTAGGTAATGATGTTATAATCAGTAGGAAACATTAATTGCAGCCTCCCTCTGTAGTTGGGACTATACTAGGTATTCATAGATACTTTATCTTCTAATCATTAAAACATCTCTGAAATAGATGCTACTTTTATTGCCATTTTATAGATGAGGAAACTGAGGCCCAGAAAAACTTAGAATCACCAGCCTGGAGGTGGAAGAGTAGGAAACCCAATAGAAAGTGTTCTGTAAGCTCTAGTCACATTGCTTAAAACTCTGGGAATATTAATTTTTGGTTTTTGTTTCTCTATTTGCTTTTTCATAAATGATCTGATCCAGTTTTGTGCATATAGTAGCTTCATAATAATTCTTTGATATTTGACCTTTCATACTTTGTTGGCAAGACTATAAATTGGTTCAATCACTTTGAAAATCACTTTGACAACACCTAGGAGTATTAAAGATGTACAATATCCTAGGGCCTGGCCATAATTCCCTGGGCAGTATGGCAGGTTCAACTGGTCAACTGAGCCAACCCCCTTCCACAGCCCCACACTATCCAGAAATTCTCTCCCAGTTGGCTGAGGGTTGAACCACATGATCCTGTTCTGGCCAATTGGGTGTAAGTGAAAATCATTAAGTGAGGCTCCTAGGAAACGTGTTTACAGAGACAATATGACCAGATGGCTTTCTTGTACTTCTGTTCCTTTCCCTTCTTCCTGACCGTAACATGACACAATGCCTGGAGTTGCTGTAACTATTTTGTGACCGTGAAACAGCAAACCTGAGGATAAAAGTGTATCCTCTCAGGACAGCAGAGCAGAGAGAGGGACCAAACCTGATATCCGCTTACCTGCCATGCAGCCTTGGAATGCCTGCCTCCAGGCTATTGTGATTTTAGGAAGAGGAACCTCTGAGGCCACTAACTCACTGTTGTTGGATTTCTTTTCCCAGCTCTCCAGAGAAACTGTCACACCTGTACACAAAATGACATGAACAGAAAAATTACAAAAAAGTTAGTGCCCATCACAAGAGAAATGGATAAATCGTGGCATCTTCATGCAATGAGACACCACATCACAATTAAAAGGTAGCGATAATTCTTGAAACCAACTTCCCATTTCCCTGTACTGAAAAGGCTGTGTTGAGGAGAGAACTTCCCATAAGCTCTGAAGAAAGGGTAGGATGAAAAGATTGAGCTAGGCAGTAGTAGTGAAACAGTGTTATGAACTGAATTGTGTGTCTCCTCAAAACTCATATATTAAAATCCTAACCACCAATGTGACTGCATTTGGAGGTAGGACTCTTAAGGAAATAATTAAAGTTACATGAGGTCATAGAGTGGGGCCCTAATCCAATAAGTCTGATGTCCTTACAAGAAGAGGGAAGGCCATGTGAGACACAGCAAGAAGGTGGATGCCTGCAAGCCAAGGAGAGAGGCCTCAGGAGAAATTATCTCTTGAATTTCCAGCCTTCAGACGAGTGAGGAAATAATTTTTAAAAATATATATATTTTATTGATTCTTCACAGAGAGAAAGGGAGAGGGACAGAGAGCTAGAAACATCAATGAGAGAGAAACATCAACCAGCTGCCTCCTGCATGCCCCCTACTGGGGACATGCCCACAACCAATGTACATGCCCTTAACCGGAATCAAACCTGGAACCTTCCAGTCCGCAGACCGACGCTCTATCCACTGGCCAAGCCGGTTTCGGCTAGGAAATAAATTTTTGCTGTTTAAGCCATATAGGCTCTGGTATTCTGTATCGCAGTCTGAGCAGACTACTAGAACTGAGGTTGTCAATAGTGACTGGTACTGTATTCACTGAAGAAATTGGTGAGGATGAGGTAGAGTGAAGGGGAAGTGGGTAATTTCTGGTGGTTACAAAGCCTAAGGAGCACAGGAGCCATTAGTGGACAGCAGCCAGGGAGGCCAAATTTCTTCATGTCTGTTTCAGTCCTTGCAACAAAAAATAATTCTGTCTCTTAACTATCCCACAGGACATTCATGTAGAGGAGAAACCTGTGTATAAGTAATTATCTAAGGTTATGAAAAATGCAAAAGTTTGGGGAGCTAGGAGATATTATACACTGAATCCCCTAGGAAAGTAACTACTATGTAGATGAAGACAGGATTGTGCTTTGTTTTCCTTAGAACTTTGCCAAATGGAACTCATCACCATTTTGAAAAAAATTTGATTGCTAACAGTAATGCTCCTAAAGATGTTTGAACTGTCCACACACCATATTACATCAGGGTTCAGTCATAGCTGTTGTATATGCCAAGTTGGCAAACCATGGTGAGCTGGCTAAACCCAGCCTGCTGACTGTTTTTGTAAATAAAGTTTTATTGGAACACAGCTATGCTTGTTATTTATATACTAGAGGTTCATACTCTGGAGCAGCAAAGACCTTGTTCCAATTTTGGACTGAATATGGTATAAAACTGTCAGGATTTGCCTAACCTCCTGACCTCATTCCCCAACAAGTTACATGAGACAATATAGATAGCAAGTAGAGTGTGTACTAGTTTAGAAGACTCTGGAATTAAAAGGTAAACTGTTAGCAGATATGGACATAAAATTTTCTCCCATCTTTGAATGCACCTCACTTTGTGATAGGATGCTGTAGTAGGGGTGTCGAACTCAATCAGAGAAGGGGCCAAAATCTAAAATCCAGCCTAAATCGAGGATTTACTGAACAGTCATAAACTGTCATTGTGATGGAAATGCAGCGGAGTGCAGTGATGACAGCGCGGTGCGGGCCACATTGCAAGGCCTGGCGGGACAGATTTGGCCCGCGGGCCTTGTGTTTGACACATGTGCTGTAGAGCCTTCCATCAGAAGGTAGTCTATTGCCCTGACTGGGCTGGGCTGATGACTTGCTTTGAGCAATGGAATATAACAGAAGGGACACGTGTGACTTTCAGGCCTAGGTCTCAAGAGGCCTGATAGCTTATACCTAAACTCTCTGGAACTTGCAGCTCCATGTGATGAAGTTTGGTTGAGCTCAGGGACCAGCATAGTTGAGCTCATGAGCCAAATCCACCCCACCACCTGCTTGTGTAAATCAACTTTTACTGGAAAGCAGTCATGCCCATTTGTGAATGTAGCATCTATGACTGCCTTCACATTATAACAACAACGTGGAATAGCTGCACCAGGGACTAAATGCCCCACAAAACCAAAAATATTTCCTGCCTGAGCCTTTACACAAAAGTTAGCTGAATCTTGGTCTAGCTGCCGGTGGATGAGGCCAGACGGAACAGGGAGGTGCTGTCCCAGCGGAGGTCTCCCTAGAATAAGCAGCTCCCAGGTAAGCTACCAGACTGGTACCACCACATGAGTGATCCCAGGTGAGCCCAGCAGAACAGTCCAGCTGAACTCAGCCCACATTGCAAACCCATAACATAAATACATATAATGGTTGTTGTTTTAAGCTGCCAAGTTGTAGGGTAGTTTATTCTGCAGCAAGAAGTAACTAAAAATGGCTCTGCCGTTTGATGTATGTGGTAGACACTTTATTCCCAGCTCGAATTATTTAGGATCACCGCTTCATGCAAACTGGCTGGCTTCTAACTACCAGTATCTGGATCTTTCTGCCTGGGGGCTTTCTCCAAAGCCCTGGCAGGGACTCTGTCCAAGTGGTGAAATTAACACTCCATCTGCACCCTACCCTTTGTCAATGATCAACAGAATTCGGTATAAAAAACTGTCCAGCTCCCTCATGCTCTAGAAGGGATAACTCCGTACGCTATTTCCAGGCTTCCTCACAGGGTGGCATTCTGTTCTCCAACTGGCTTGATATCACATTCTTTATTAGCAGCCAGCCCTTGTGTCTATTTTCCCCATGACTTTACTGGTATTTTCTGAACATCCCAAATAAGCCACATTCACTCAAATCCTTGTCACACGCTGTATTTCCAGTCAGTATGCAAACCAAGAAAACACTGAGCATAACCGTAGACAAGTTTCTTTTTCTCTAAACCTTGGTTTCCTTACCTGTAAAATAGAAATAATAGGAGTATTTCTGTCCTGGGAGGTGGTTGTGCTTAACTTGAGATAAAGTCTGAGAAACACCCAGCTATGCTCTTAGTGGTGACAACACACTTTGGCTAACTCCGCATCCTCTGTGCATTGGCTCTGGTGTTGGCCAAGGCACTTCGAATGACCAGGCTACTAACTGGAGGACTTTCAGACATCAGTGCAGAGAGGAAGAGAGCGCATGTGTTCAGCTGCAATGTGCTGGGGCTTCTACTGGTTTCCAGTCACGTCTCAGTTGAGAAGTCTGAGTCCCATGCCTCAGATCCACGTCTGGAAGACACTGTGGCTCCTGACTTCTGCGTTGGCACACTAGGCTGGAGCCTGCTGCGTTCCTGGCCCCAGGGACCCATCCCCGACAGGAAGGAGGAACGTTGTCAAGGAAGTGTGCAGACCTGACTTCAGACAATTAGAAAAACATCACTCTTCCTGACCTTGGAAGGTGAGCATGAATTCAACTGCAGCCTTAAAAAGACATGGGGTAGGGGAGAATGTTTTTCTTTTCTCCTTTAAGAGAGGAATCTGTCTACGCAAAACCCTCCACTCCTAAAAGCCTATAAATACACACCCAAACCTGGAGAAAAAATTAAGAGCATAACTTCTGCCTCATGCACAAAACATTCCATTTGCTCTATCGAATAGCTTCTGTTCTCTTTTGAAGGTTAACTCCTTAACTCCCCTTCCTCTTGACCTGCCCCCGGCCATTCAGGGATGTTTAGGGGAAGGCTGGACTGGGAAGCTGCTCAGATACCTGTGCAAATCCTCACATCCATGTGAAGGGACTCTGTCAGGCTGAGGCAAGTCCTTTCCAGTGCAGAGTAGTGCACACACAGCTCTGGATCACGGCTAGCCCCAGAATGATGGCAACGTTACAATTACCCTGCAGGACAGGGATGGAAGTGACTATTTTAGAACCTGGAAACATCTCAACGGCCTCTTGGAGTCAGATTTGGGAAAGTCCCTTTTACCACGGTTGTCTTCTTTCATGCAATAGGATGTCAGTGGCGGGGACATTTCCTACCAGAAACATCAAGGGATCCATGTAGACTTTGGAGAAGCTTGAAAGGGTGCTGTGATTTGCAGGGCTTGACTCTGGCTGGAAATGCTATTTTTCTTTCGGAAGAAAATATTTTCATTCTGGGGTTTGTAGAGTCAACACAATTAAAATAGCTTATGGCCAGATGCTCTCCAATCACAAGGCATCAAACCTTTGCAAGATGTCTTTGCACAATCCACACATCTTTCCAAGGCCTGTGCTGATTAGATGCTTGGGGATGTCTGTGGTAAAAAATAGAATGTGTTTGGGATGGAGCTAGAGACCTCCATGGAGCCATTTAACTTTAGGTCATCCAGCTTCTCAGAGATTCTCAGGGCCTCTGTTTCCTGATCTGATACTTAGACCGAACGCTTCCTTCCTCCCCTCCCAGAACTTTTCTTGCATTGAAATGGAGAACAAGTATAATGACAGCACCAAAAAGCCCAGGATGTAGTATGTGCTCAAGGAATATGAAGTCCTATCACTAGAGCATCTCTTGAAGTTCTCCAACTTGTAAAAAAAATGAAAATATGAAAAAAGGGAAATCAAACAGAAGCTATTGATTGAGCATAGACTCTCTAACTAGACAACTTGGCTTCAATGACCTTTGCTATGTCCCAGGAGGCAATTCATCTTTCACTGCCCTGGTTTCCCCAATTATAATACAGTACAAGGACCCAGTAGCATGTAGCATTAGATGAGACAGTTCATACAAATCCAACACAAAATCTGGGAGTCAGTAGCCACCAGTAAAATATATTTGCTTTAATTAGCATCATAATTATATTTTTAAACTATTGTTATTGAAGACTGATCTTCTTTCATGTATAGAAATGCAGACTGTCAATCACAAAGCACAGACTTGATGCCATTCAGAAGGATGCAGGGCACTTGGTAGCA